AACAGTAAAATGGTTCAATGTAAGGAACGGATATGGTTTCATCAACAGGAATGACCCCAAGGAAGATGTATTTGTCCACCAGACTGCCATAAAGAAGAATAACCCCAGGAAGTACCTTCCCAGTGTAGGAGATGGACAGACTGTGGAGTTTGATGTTGTTGAACGAGGAAAGGGTGCGGAGGCAGCAAATGTTACAGGTCCTGGTGGCGTTCCAGTGCAAGGCAGTGAATATGCAGCCCACCGTAACCATTATAGACGTTATCCACGAAGTGGGGGGTCCTCCACGTAATTACCAGCAGAATTACCGGAATATTGAGAGTGGGGAGAAGAACGAGGGATCGCAGAGTGCTCCCGAAGGCCAGGCCCAACAACGCCGGCCCTACCGCAGGCGATGGTTCCCACCTTACTACACATGCGGAGACCCTATGGGCGTCGACCACAGTATTCCCACCCTCCTGTGCAGGGAGAAGTGATGCAGGGTGCTGACAACCAGGGTGCAGGAGAACAGGGTAGACCAGTGAGGCAGAATATGTATCGGGGTTTTAGACCACGATTTCGCTGGGGCCCTCCTCGCCAAAGACAGCCGAGAGGACGGCAATGAAGAAGATAAGGAAAATCAAGATGAGACCCAAGGTCAGCAGCCACCTCAACGTCGGTACCTTCGCAACTTCAATTACCGACGCAGACGCCCAGAGAAAACCCTAAACCACAAGATGGCAAAGAGACAAAAGCAGCCGATCCACCAGCTGAGAATTCGTCCGCTCCGGAGGCTGAGCAGGGCGGGGCTGAGTAAATGCCAGCTTACCATCTCTACCATCATCCCGTTTAGTCATCCAACAAGAAGAAATGAATATGAAATTCCAGCAATAAGAGATGAACAAAAGATTGGAGCTGAAGACCTTAAGTGCTTGTTTTTTGCCCGCTGACCAGATAATTAGAACTATCTGCATTATCTATGTAGCATGGGATTTTTATTATTTTTACCTAAAGATGTCTCTTTTTGGTAATGACAGACGTGTTTTTTTAAAAGCCTGGTTTTTCTCAACACACTTTGAAAGATTTTTAAATTGTTTCATATCTGGTCAAGTTGAGACTTTTAAGAGCCTCATTTTTAATTTGTAATAAAAGTTTACAACTTGATTTTTTCAACAAACTGCAAGCACCTGTTAATAAAGGTCTTAAACAATAAAAACAACAACAACAAACAAACAAACAAACATAATGAACTAAAACCCAACGTATGTTACTAACATAAGTCCTCTAACCCGCTTTGGAGCATGCATAAAAGTTGTTAAGTACATGATTAAGAAGCTTGATGTCACACATGGCTAGAGTTTTAAGTTTGCTTTATCTGCGTTACCTACTATCTACCAAAAAAATTCGTATTTGACATATTTTCCATCACTCAGGTAGCATATGAATACTCTCATTAATAGACATGGGCAACAGGGACAAAACTGAGAATAGTGAGTATCAGGTGTAGGAGCCTTGGTAGTGCAGCGGTTAAGCACTTTACAGCTAACACAAAGGTTGGCAGTTTGAACCCACCAGCAGCTCTGTGGGAGGAGATCTGGCAATCTGCTTCTGTAAAAATTCATAATTTTGGAAAACCTATTGTCAGATCTACTTTGTTCTACAGGGTTGCTAAGAGGCAGAACTGAGTTGGAATTCAACTTGACAGCAAGGGGTAGGTACTTGATACTTTTTAAAAAAAAAATGGAGGCTGGCTTAAGGATGAGGTAGAATGGAGAATTGGACCATAATTCTTCAAAGGCTGACAATGTATGCAAGTCCTGCCCCCTTTGCCAACTCAACCTCTGGGATAGAGAATAGACACCTTCATCTTAACAAGGCCCAGTGGGACTCATACACCCTTATGCCCAACACAGCAGTACTCTGATGCAGAAGCCTAAAAGCCTGTGCAGGCAGCTCTGGAGGCCTACTGGTTAGAATCTGCACTGCAATCTTGGAGGCATGTGGTTCAAATCCACCTACTGCTCTGTGGGAAAAGGATGGGCAATGTAATCCCACCACATGATTACTGCCTCTGAAAATCCACTGGAGGGTCAGCTGTGGGTGGATTCTGACTTAATGGCACACAATAATCAGAGTCTGTGCAGTTTTTATCAACTTGGAGTCTACAGAATAATACACCCTCTGCTCCAATTCTCTGAAGTACTACCCCACTGTGTGTGAAGTCTTAATTCGTTCATAGGGTCGCTATGAGTCGCCTACGACTCGATGGCACTTAACAACAACAACAACAACAACAACAACAACAACAACAACAACAGGTAAAACAGATCTACCATTCCTAAAGACAGGATATTTCGTTGTTGCTAGGTGCCAGAGACCACTCCAACCCACAGAGACCCTGTGAAGAGCAGAGGTGCACCTTGCCCTATTCTGTGCCACCCTCACCATCTCAGATATGCTCAAGCCCTCTGCGAGTCACTCTGTCAATACAGCCTGTTGAGGGTCTTCTTCTCTTTCATCGACCCTCCACCTTTCCCAGCCAAGATAACTTTTCCCAAGGACTTGTCCCTCCTGACAATATGCTCAAAGTTCGTGAGACAAAGTTTCATTGTCCTTGGCTCCACTGGTTGTACTTCCTCCAAGACAGATGTGTTTGTACTTTTGGCAATCTATGGGATATTCAGTACTCTTGTTCAACACCACAATTCAAAGGCAGAATGAGTATAAAGGGGAGGAAGTCCAAGATGAACCAGGAGATTTCTGGGAGGATCAGCCCTCTCACCAGCCCCCAAAATCTATTTTCTGGTTCTTGTCTTTCCACGTTTGGACATCTGAGGACAGATGCTCATGTATCTCAAGAATCCAAAACTCTCCCTCTTTTACAAGGAGGTCGGTAGCAAGGAGACAAACTTACTTCACTAAATATACTAAGACACTCTGTCTGCTGGCGATGCAAGAGGATAAACAACCTCCAGCAGAATGAGGGTATTTTCAGCCGTTAACACAATATGCTCACACAAGCCCTTTGGATAAGAAACAAGGAATTGGGGAAAAGTTTTAGCAGAAGGGAATTTAACATGAAGTCATTTTCCTTTACTCATTACATATGAAACACAATGTTTGCTAAGTATTTAAAATACCAAACATATAGCCTACTCCTTATCCCTAATTAGTGCTGTTTAAAAAGTTAAAACCAGAAAGCTATTGAAACAAAAATAAATGGTTTCTAGACCCAGGATCCACAAATTGGCAGGACTGAAAGGATGATTTCTGCCCACAGAGAGATTTTGTATAGTCTGCAGAGTGTTGTTTTTCATTTGAATTAGTCGCCAACTCTGAAAGGAAAAAAATTTTTGAAACTTTAACATGAAAATCTAGAGTTTTCTACATTGGGATGAAACCGTAATAGTGAACCAGCTCCTGTCAACACCCACCCCATAGACCCTATCTATATCTTTGACCTAAATAACTCTCTGGCCAAATTAGGCAGACATCTATGGCGACATTCTCAGCCTGGTAGGGAGGAAGGCTGAATCCGATAAAGATACATAGTCTTTCCTGTATTTCATCTGGAAATAAAGAAATTTTCAAGTAAACATAGGTAGATATTTGGGTAGACAAAGCCTGAAGAAGGGATATTGCCACTTCTTGCAGAAACACCTTATGGAGAACAGGAAAGATAGAAAGGAAATGCAACAGTCACTATCTTTTACAGCCCTTGGTAGCAAAGCTAACAGAACATCATAACTTCCTCGCCAGAGATTTTTTTTTAAAGCTAGCAGAATATCCTATAAAAAGGAAGGCCACAGCCCCTGTGATGTCTAGCACTAGGCTCCAATCACCCCTGAGGACAACAGTGCACCCCAGGACCTTTGGCACCTGGGGATCTGAGGGGTCCTGGGCAGGAAAAAAAAGCCACAATATCCAAAATTCTAAAACACCTCAGAATATGAGACTTGGAAGGCTGGGACTTAAGGGGTCAAGTCTGATGTCTGCAGAGCTGGCCTCCTTTACAACTTTGACTGGACAAGCTCCTCCTGATGCCTCACCATCCCCACTAGGAATGTAGAACTATCTGGAATGTAACCAGGAGATCTCTATCTCAAAAGTAGATAATTGGAAGTAAAAGGCCTTAGCTAATCTCCCACTGTTAAAAATGTGTTAAAATCACATGAGTAATAACACTTGCCTTAACTAAGCAATCTCCTCTAATGTAGATATAAGATGGCAATAAAGTAATTATGGGCAACATAAACCAAGGTTCAGATCTAGTAGGCAGTATCTAGTGTGGACGCAGGATAGCTGTCCTTGGCAAAGCTCAGCAGAGTGCGTCCCCTGGGGAAGCTGCCTTCCCTCTAGGTCTGGAAGAGTAGGAAAGAGGAGACTAGTACTAATTACCTCACCCTTACCTGCTTCATAAGGATGTGGTCATGTCTATAAAACATTCGCAGCATCTCGGGAGCAGGGTGGTATATAACGAGGCCACGTTAACATATTATTAGCCTTACCTCACAAGAAGCCTTAATGGCACCAGGGTTTTATAGGTACCTGGTAAACACGGTAAGTCCTCAGCTGCTGACAGAGAGGTCAGCGATTTGAATCCACGAGGTGCTCCATGAGGGAGCTCTAGTGGCCTAATGGTAAGGAGCTGCAGCTTTGCCAACCCCAAGACTCGCAATTCCAATCCACCAGCTGCTCTGTGGGAAGAAGGGCAGTCCCCTCCCTCGCGATTTGCTGCCTCTGAAAACCCCCCAGAGGGCTGGCTGAGTTGGCTCTAACTCAGCGGTACACAACAATAAAAACCAATAGTTGCTTCATGAGTTAAAAAGAAATAAAATAAATAATGTGGCAGTCCACTTCCATAGTGATTACAGCTTTGGAAACTACGAGGTAGATGAGTCGGAATAAACTTGACATCACGGAGTTGATCTGAGTAATCTGTCATATTTACCAAACCCTGTCCCAATGAGACAAAAAAGAGGCGTGATGGAGGAAGCAGGGAAGCAGTCTGGGTCAGCACCTACCTCTGTTCTGATGGATACTGGTTGTCAGCCATCATCTTTGGCATCTGCATGGGCTGATGTGGTGGCCGGGGGACTGCAAAGGTTTGCTGCTGTGGTCCAGGCTCTTGAAGTGAGTGAGGGGCAGGGGCAGGGCCCACACCTGGTACTGGGACCACTGCAGGGGCATGTGCTGAGGTGGGCAGAGTTGCCTGAGGTGGGGGAAGTAGGGAATTCTGGTGAGTGGGTGACAGGGGAGTGGCAGGAGGGGTTAATGGCTTGAACCCAGAGGGAGGCTTCCTATCATAGGCACTGGAAACAAAAAAAAAGAAAAGAAAAAAAGAGAAGAAACCTTAAGTTGCAATCAAACATGGCTACCTGGTCCAGAACCCTGGTTTGCAGTCCACTGTTGCAAGGAAATGACAGCATTAACATAGTTAAATTGCTAGCAGCCCTGAGGGAATATTTGTACCTCTGAAAAGTGACAAACACACTGCGTCACAGGGACTTGTTTAACACTTCTAGTGATTTTTTTCCCCTCCAAGATAATTTTAGCTTGGCTTCCGGTTTCCTTTCCCCCTCTTTCTAAAAGAATTCTGTGTGTGCGTGTGTAGGGGTAAACGGGTGAGGGGGAACCTCACTATGGAGGCATGCTCTACCCCTCTCCCCCAGACTTCCCAGGAATTAGTCAGAATCTGGTGAAGGATACATTTCTGCTGGAACATCCCTGGAATCAACAACTCCTCTTTTCTCCCCCTTTCAGGTGGATCTTTGTTTATCTTCTGGAGCAAAGAACGATTTTAAATTAAAGCTTCATTCCTGGGGCCAGGGTAGTCTTAAGTAAAGGGCACACACATCAGGACTTTTTCATATATTCTGATTTGCAGATTACTTCTTTGGTGCTTAAAGTTCACATTAACATATTATAGACACGAAGTAGCATATATTCCCTCCCTCCAAGCCATAGATCAAACATCCCAGTATTTGAGGCTCATTCCCTGGGAGGGTGCACGACCATTGAGCCTGGGCTTCCTGCAAAGACACAATGCTTTAATGGTTCTGTGGTTTGCATGGAGCACAAACATCCCAAGAGGACTGATTATACAGTCATGAAAGGCAAGGGTGGTGGACTTTGAGGGTCTGTTGGACAATCTGCATGATTGCTACTTCCAGAGCTTCCTGGACAGCTGTTGTCTGGCTCCACTCACCAATAGTTGTAGAGGCACTTTTCTCCATAGTTAGCACCGAGAGCCTGCTCATGGCTACAGGAGGACAGTTCAGAGGAGGGGCTGTGCAGTTCCCGTTTGATCTTGGTTGGAGGCGGGGCATGAAGCACCACTGAAATTAAGAGGGAGGAGGGGGGGACAGAGAGGACAGCAGGTTAACAGGGAGCACATGTTTCCTTCTGTACACTGTTTAACTGGCCAGTCTGTGCTTGGAATTCATGTCAGGTCACATGCCAGAAAAAGCAAAAACACTTAAATACCTGACCTTCCACCTAACACCAATTAAAAGGTCTTTAAAGTCAGAAATCCTCACTGACACTTTTAATTAGCCACATCTGTTTTCCCCCATCTCCTTAGTCATGCGTTTTCCCTTAAAAATGGTTCTGAAAACATTAAAAACCCTGCAAGTGATAAATACCCTGATAGTTCTTAAAAAAAAAAGAAAGAAAAAGAAAGAAACGAAAACAGAAAGGTGGGTTCCATCAGAAGTAAGCATAAAGAATTCTGTTTCCAAAAACACATGAAACAACCAAAATCATGTTCAAAAAGATACAAAACACAAAAGCATTGCTGTCAAGGCTGTTCCAACTCACAGTGGCCCTCTAAGGGTTTCTGAAGCTGTAAATCTTTCCAGAAGATTGCCCATCTTTTTTTCCTGAGAGCAGCTGGTAGACTCTAATAGTTGACTTTTCCGTCACCAGAGCTCCTTTAAAACATGTTGGTAGAGTTAGTTTATCATAGGCTTGGAGTTGGTCTGGCAAAACCAGTTCTTGTGCAGGTATGCATTTACAAATGAAAGATTTTATAAAATCCTTCAGTCACCTGCTGTGTATCTAAAAAGCTACAACCAGGAGAAGATAACATAGATGAATGGGACCTTCTAAGACTCAAATCCCTATGCACATCCAAAA